AAAAGAACAAAGCTAACGATAAGAAAGCCCCGTATTCAGATCACACCTCTGTCATATGCCTTTTCTCCTCCAAGATACTGAACACATTGCTGCCTAGAGATGGGTATCAGTTAAATCTCATATTAATCAGGGTTTCACAAATCGCCCAAATCTCATGGCAACATTCAGATGTCTTCTAGTGAATGTCCCTGAAAGGGGAAATGGTTTCAGGGTCATTCCAAGCACATAACCAAAGAAAGAACTGGGGGCAGGCAGAAACAAACAAAAGAAAATAAGGAAACAAACAAAGAATGAAACAAAAGAAAATAAGGAAAATAAATTCCGTAATTTTAAAAGATTTAAGATCAATAGTTTTAACTACCAGAATCACAGCATGCAAATGATCAAACTTGCAGCAAATAGACATATTGCCGCTAAAACCAGATCCTGAGTAATAAGCAGCTGTGTTTCGTGGTGCAAACCAGACACTGTGGTGTAGCGATGACTTTAACACACCTGAAATACCTCTACATAGTACAAAATACATAAAACAATCAATCACAGGCTTGCATAAGTGAAGGAGACTTCAACAGGTTTTCAAGCCCAATCCACAGTCTTAGAGCAGGTCCAAGTCCTCTTCAGCCATCCCTGACAGGTATTTGCATAACCTGGTTTGTGCGTGGTCCAAGAACGGAGACTTCACAGCTCACCAGACAAACTACTCCAATGTTTCTCTGCCCTGGGCATTAGGAATTTTTTTCTTTAGTATCTAATTAGAATCTCTGTGTTGCGATTTACACACATTGTTGTCCCATTCACTGAGATCATGGGGAAAAAATAAAAATAAAAATCTTTCCTCCACAGAAAAATTGTTCATATTCAAAGAATCATATACCTCACCTTAGTATTTCCTTTTTTAACATAAAGGCCTTCAAAGATCTTACGTTCCAGACTTAGGATGATTTTCATTTTTCTCTTCTGGACTCTCCCTAATTTCTCTCCTGAATTGTGATGCTCAAAACTGGATGTAAAGAAAAAGCAACTGTACCTTGTATCAAAGCTCCACCTAACCTAGCACTGTCCCAATAGTCTTCAATAGCAAATAGCTAGGGAATAAGTTTAGGACTAGACAAGTATGGAACAATACCTCACTTGAAAATACAACTTCCTAAACTCCAGTAGTTTGCGGCTGAAGGACTTTCCTGACCAGAGAATACTTTCCATATTTCTTGCTTAACAATGATTTTTTCCTTCATTAATTTGTCCGGTAATTCCCTCTAGGTTCACCCATCGTGAGAAACAAGGAGCATCAGAAGAACAGTAAAAAATATTTGCTCCTGCTCCAGTGCAATACCCCTCTTCATTCTCTCCTCTTCTAGTGCAAGGAGCCCTAACCTAGGTAAATTTCCCTTGCAGAGAAACACTTTCACAACTTGGATCATCGTCGCTTCCCCTACCTGTGCTTTTCAGCTCAACCACATCTTTTTTTTGAGTTAGGACTGGAACGAGAACTGCACACAGCATTCCAGGAACATTTTGAGTTTTGCTTTCTTCTGCTTTCCTAGCAATCTTAGGATTTTCGACCACTGATATTGCCACAGAACTATCGTTATAAACCTGAGAGCTCATTCTCGTGACAGAAAAAACACATGTAAAATTATGATTCTCCCTTCAGATGCGTTGTGTTAGATTTATCTCCATCCAATTTTACCTGACATTTTACCACTTCACTACTCAGTACAAGGGCCCTGAACAACCCTTCGCTGTTGTCCTTCGCATGTACTCTCAGGGATTTAGTCTCATCTCAACCTGGGCACCTCGCTACCCGCCTCCTTTCCCAGCGCAGTTATACACAGGCGGAGCAGCAGGGGCCCGTGCGGCTCCACTGGTGACCGCCTCCGCAAGCCCATCGCAGCCCCCTCCGCTCCGCTTCCTGCTCTGCTCTTTGCGCAAGGGTAAGAGGAAAGACAGCCATGCGGGCAGTTTATTTTTGTTGAGAATCTTTTCAGGGACTTTATCAAATGCCATTTGTAAATGCAATTAAACAACGTCAATCCAACCTCCCTTGCCCACACGCTCACTGGTCCCTTCAAAGAGCTCCAACAGATTTTAGATTCATGATTCCTCTCTGCAAAAACTGTGCTGTCTCTTCCCCAGTATATCACGTTTCATCATGTGCCCTCAATTCTTTTCTTCAGAACAGTTTCTACTCAGTTGCCTGGCACAGACATCAGGCCTACTGGTAACAACAGACATAATTACTCTGTGGATTATCACATTTTTCGTGAAGTACAAGGTAATGGGCACAAGAGCTATAATAAACTGTACTGTCCCTCAGCCGGGGATGCTTGTGAGGGCCAAGATAATTTCCAGATGTCTGAGTATCACAAGATACAAAGTTAGAGATAATGACCACTTTAGCTACCGCTATATCGTCTCTTTGTTTGACTAAAAAAAAAAATATAGAAGGAAAGATTTGATAAGCTTATTTCTCCAGAGAAAAGACTGAAGGGGGCAGAAACATACAATTGATAGAGGAGCCTGCATTCAGCAAGCATCCTGACTGTGTGGAAAAAAGACAGACTACAGGCAGAAAGCATCACACAAGCAGCAACACTATTCAAAGGAAGGGTTGATATAAACAGGATTGATGGAGAGTCATCTGACCCCCAGTATTCCAAAAAATGCTGTCGTGTAGCATTACAAACAGTTCTGTTCCAAGGCATGTAGAGAGGAGGCACTTGTGATAAACCACCCTTTTAACAATACACTTTTAACAAATGGAGATGCACTCCATTTGTTTCCCACAGTCATAAACTCACATGACATTCACGGAGTCTCAGAAACACTGGAACTTGATCAACCGTCATTCAAATCCAATTTGAATATTTCAAAGTACAATGACGAATTCATCAGTTAATCTTTTTGGACTTCATTTCCAAATTTAAGCATAAAAATACTTCAGTGTGATTATTATATAATATTTAACATAAAAAACCAGGAAAAAAAAGGAGAGTTTATGAGCTTTGGAAGAAGAGGCAGGCAACTCAGGAGGACTACAAAGATGCCGTGAGGTTATGCAGGGAGAAAAGTAGAAGGGCCAAAGCCCAGCTAGAACTTAATCTGGCTACTGCTGTAAAAGACAATTAAAAATGTTTCTATAAATACATTAGCAACAAAAGGAGGGCTAAGGAGAATCTCCATCCTTTATTGGATGTGGGGGGAAACATAGTGACAAAGGATGAGGAAAAATGCCTTTCCTCAGTCTTTACCATCTAATGCTTTACCGCCTAAGTCCTTAATGCCTAAGGCATTAAGGCGGTACTTAATGCCTTTTTTGCCTCAGTATTTAATAGTAAGACCAGTTACTATTATATATTGTATATATATTGTTATATATAAGAGGAGTCAGAGCATATCTTGCTTTGAAAATCATGCATTGGAAATTTTATTTTTAGAATTCAAGGTCTGAGTTGTCCTGCAACAGTCACGTCTGTTTTGCCATAAGATCAACCAAATCTGATGATGCTAGAGACCTGCCTAGTCCATCAATGACAGTGATCGACGGCAAGTGCCTAGAGAAGACTGTAAGACAAAGGCAAATATATGGAGATACTTCCTCAGAATATTCCCTCAGCCTGCAATGATTTGTACTCCTGCAACTGCTTAAAGCTTGTAATTCATATCTGTATATTTAATAGTCTTTGATGGATTTCTGCTTCCAAGGATTTCTGCTTCCAAGAATGTGTCTAACAGATTTTGAATCCATGTACACTGCTTATATCCACAGTGCCCTGTGGGAAGATGCTCCATACTCTCTGTGAAGCAGCAGCTCCTTGTGCCTGTCTCTATCCAACTGATCCTAACTAGTTCCTTATCTTCACAGTGGAAGAGAGAGTGATCAGCTCTCCACACACTTTTTCCATGCCAGACCTTTTTGAACTCTCGGGCAAATACCTCTTGATCTGACAATCTGCCACTTTTCATTTTATAAGCTGAGCTATAACCCTGTCTACCAACACTTACAATCAAAAAAAAAAAAAAATGACACACAAACACAACGACACACAAACACAACGACACACAAACACAACGACACACAAACACAAAAAACTCTCTCCTTAGTTGACACAGACACAGAACAGTGATACAGCATTTTTGTTACTGCTCTATGTGTCCCAACTGTTTCTTTCACTTTTTCTCTATCCACAGATTTCATAGATTCTCTGGTATACTTCTTTCCTCTTCATGCCTGAAAAAAATTACTAGCTTTTATGCCTGCATCTTCATCATATCTTCTCCTTGTGCCAGCATATTAACATTCAGATTCACCTTCTACATTTACATTAACAGCTCCTTTATTTATGCCCCACCGCCCCCTCTGGGTACTTCCCAGTGTCTCCCCATCCCTATGTCAGTGCATACCATGTACACTTCCTTCGTATCACCAGCTCTCCTCCACAGCCAGCCTCCCACAGCCAGTCTGTTCTTTCACCAAATCTTGTGCTTAGTCCCTTCTCTCACTTCACAGGTTTCAAATCCTTCTTATTCCTTCCCTCATCAGACATTTCAAAGACTAGTAACTCAGTGAAAGATGACAAGCTCTGGCCTCTCCCACCCTCCTTTCCCTGCAAATACCTATCTTTATTTTTCTCACTATAACCATTACTGATTCTTTCAACCCGCTGCCTCTATCCCCTCTGGGGACTGCCATGATTTCCTCCTCTTCTTTTCTCTCCTCTGTAACCCCTATCCTTTGATGCCTTCCCTTTCAAAAGAACACTTGTTTTCTTTCAGCATGCTGCCTCTCCGGGACAGATGCCTACTTTGTGTTTGAAAGAGCACCTGGCATGCTGTGGGCATAAACAGACAAGTAGCTGTAGATCTGACATTGAGATTGCAGCAAGGTTGACACAGAGCAGCAACTGGGAGGCTGCCTTAGGATGGGCCGTGGCAAGACAGCTGAAAAATAAAGGATCTTAAAAGTCACTAATGATCAATAATGCCACCCAAAACCTTACCTTCTCACACCACGCAGCCTTTCGGTGAGTTACAAGCTCATGCAGTTGGTCACGGAGAGTCATTAGGTCTCTGGATAATCTGTCAATTTGCCCAGTCAGACTGTCAGCCCAGGGGCAGCATGAGGTCGCCTTTGGCAGCCCACTTTTCTCCACATGAGTGTCCTGGGACTCGCAGATGTTTCCTTCTTCAGCCATATTATCTAACACAGTTTCCTAAAGGAAAAACAATACAAGTTACTTTCCAGCAGGAGCTAAAATGGTTTCCCCCGTCACATCTTCCTGGTAATTCATAACTAGGAATTCACTGCCATCTCAGTATACAGTTGCTCCACAATTTCAGAGTTATTTTAAGAGATAACCTCTTCTGTTCACTATAACATATTTATAAGTTAACAGAAAACTTACATTGTTAACCTAGCTTATTTTAGAAAGCACTGCATACTGTGAGCTACTCTCCACTGCACTAAAGCATAAAGTAACACTCATGGGACAGAGATCACCAGTACTGCTGAAGCTCTAGATAGGCGCCTTCCCCTCAAGCTCTGAGGTTGGATGCACTTCCATGGCTTTTTGTAACCAAGTGATGACCAGGATGGAGATACATGCTTACACTGTTCAGGAGAGCGCCATCTGCTATATGGCACAATAAGTTGTAACACCCACGGATCAGTTGTGCCCCTGTAAAACTCTACAAGTTGAGGAACCCCAAGAGATCCCCGCTCCAGGCTAGTTCAGGAGCTCTGTCAGCTCTGCTTGACCATGACCACCTAGCTGGTTCTACAATTAAGTCTGCCTTCAGAGATAGCAACCATTATTTGAAATACTCAAAAAAACACCAAATAATTTCAGAGTCATTGAAATGCATGTACCTATACACCGTGGTGCACGGATTACGTAGAAACACACAGTTTTCAAGCCAGGGTAGCAGAGCATAACTAAAGGACCCAAGCCTCCTCACTCGAAGAGTATTAAATATTTATTTCCATATTGTTATCAAGAAGACATTAAATAGGAGAGGTTACAATCTCTTTTAAGGACATAATTTGCATTCAAAATTATCTTTAGAAATTGGAGAAGTAATATGAAATCAGTGAGAAGAAATTCAGCAGTTGAGCAGCATGATCTACACATGGCAAGGGAAAACCAAATGCATAATTACTGGCTCAGCAGCAACACTGCTGGAAGAGATGTCAGAAAACCAGAAGTCACCAATGTCATACTGTTAAAGTCAAGTACCATTTTAGAAAGTATAAACACAAGTCTCTGTGATAGAAGAGCGCTGACTGTAACACTGACGAAGGGGTGAGGCACCTGAAGTTAAAACACAGATAAATGGGAAGGAAAGTCCCATATGAGAGTAGCAACAACCATCAGAAGTTTGAAGGAATGGCCTACAAGGAGACATTAAGAGAACCAATTTTGTTTAGCCTAGCAATAGGGACTGGGAAGGCAGTGACACGCTAACAGCCTTCACTTATACAAAAGATTGCTATAAAGAGGATGGGAATTTCCGCTCCCCCCCACCCCGCATTTCTCTCTCTTTTCTGCAGGTAGGTTAAAAACTCTGGCTTAATTCACTGCAAGAGATCTTTAGGCTTATACAAGAAAAAACATTGTAAGATAGCTGAGAATGGCAAAAGACATCCTACAAAACCTCCTTTCTCAGCAAGCATCAGCATTGCAAATTGGCACAAAGCAGCGCTGAGGCCAGCAGCTCATGCTGACCAAAGGCCCAACTCATGACAACGCAGACATGTTCTGGGCACCAACAGGCTAACAAACTGCATGGAAATAAAACAAAGCCTTTCTGGTTTTGTTGGGGTTTTGTTGTTTGTTCGTTTGTTTTTAATTTGAAATTCATTAAATGAATTTTAAAGTAACATTACTGCAGTCACGGCAGTTGCTTAGTTATGCCATGCTCTGTCATGCTCCTGCCCACAACCCTCAGGAAGACCTGGCAGTAGCTATGCAAGAATCATCCCATCCATCAGATCAGCAATGCAAAACACAGGTTAAGTGGAAAGAGAAAACTACTGTATCCTCAAAGCACATCTCATTCCCTATACATCCTACAGCATCCAGGAACAACCACCATCATTAGCAAAACAAAAGAAAAAGGCAAATGCGCCATCCAGCCTGTTGAATAATTTAAAAAGATATGCTGGTCAGGTTTTTTGCAAGTATTTATTTAGGACTTAACTCCAGGAAGCCTACTAACACTCACAATACTCCTCACACCATTCAACATGTCAGAGGCAAAGGTTTTGGTAGATACACTGAAATGCTATAACACTTGCAGTTACATTTTGCCTATTTGGAGCCAGGCTTCTGCTAGTGTTGATGTTTTCCGAACAACTATAAGATGGTAGACATGTAAAGCAAAAACCATTATATAACTAATGGAAATTTGAATGGCTCTGCATTGGAAGTACTCTTCAAAACAGGTGAGGTAATTTTACACTCCTTTGCCTTGCTTTTAGTGTAGAACAAGGCATATGGGCAATTAACAATCAGCTCGCTGATTCTCAAAATTTTGTAAACTCATATGGCTAATGTGGTGCTCTAAAGAATTATTTTCAGCAAGTGTGAATGGGCAAAAGTTGTAGAGAGAAGTGAGATGGATGGTACTGTTTACACTCACTTGAGAAATCGTAAGATGCACAAAGAAAGGCTTATTGATTTTCTTATGATCATTCAACACAGTTCAAGGGGAAATCGGCAATTTCAACACATTATTTGGCTGGGAAAAATGAAGTAGTTTTCAATATCAGCTGCTTGCAAATTTAGTTGTTCTCGAGTCTGCAATAAAGCTTAGAGGCCCTCTTCTGAAAAGCCATTTAATTTTAACAAAATGTACGATTGCTACATTTAAAAAACATTAAAGAGATGAAGATCAGACATTTTCATTTGTGTTAACTGTATGAAATTCTGCCACTCTGCCCTGCAATTCCTCAGCTTAGCTGGATGAGTCTTACTCAAGAAAAAGAGGGATGAAGGAGAACTAAGAAAACACTCCTTACTTTACCAAAGGCTTTTTTCCCTTCTTCTCAAGTGCTGTTGAACAGTTGGTTTGCAGCATTTATTTTTGTGGGAAGGGGCCTTCGAAAGTGGTAAGCTATTTGTTAGAGTCAAGAAAGCTGCACCCTTTGAAATTAGTTTGATTCATTACCATCCACTGCCAATAAACTGGTTCCAGTTGCTTCCACTCCAGAAAGGCTTCCAGTTGCATGGTTTCAGACTCCAGAAGCTGCAACAGCTAGAGGAAAGGAGACAAAGGAAAGAAAATCAGGTAACACTGGTCACTTGTGAACTAAATGAAATGTGTGTTTGGTCTAAATTACAAAAAGAGTGTCGGTAGTATACGGGACAACACTGGGTTACTTTACAAGAACATTGTAAAACCAGCTGTGGAAACATGATGTGAAACACTTTTCCAAGCATCACTGATTTATTCCTCACCCCAAATGTACAAACACCCTCAGCTTTTACATACATAAATGTGAGTTTCCATATTGTTTTGAGGGATCAAAGAGCCATAATTCTGATATATTAAGGCCTAGATGCATGACCGTCTTCAAATCTTCTATGCTTCTTGACTACCAAAATGAGCTATGTGTCTCCAAGAGTATTTTTTTCATCTATCCATTCACTCACATTTATCAAGGCTATAAGGTCTAAACACCGTCTTCTCTTCCAGGCCACGTAAGCCTTCTCTTAGCTAAAACTTACACAGTTGGTCTTTGACTGGGTCTTCTCATATTCAATAGTAATGACCCCAACTGCAATATACAGGTACCTCTACTAGGCCAATGTATCTCCTTCCCATGCCGCTCCCACATCTGCAGAAAACTCAGAACTCCAGTATCTCCAGTCCTCTCTGCCTCCTCCCCCAAAACCTTTCATTCCTTATTCAGATCACTCAAACTGAGATGATCTCTGATGCTCCAAAATAGCATGGAAGAACTCCCTCTAAAAATGTTACATATCTTATAAATTGTGTGATCTGCTGCATGAGGAATCTCTCCCTTTACCTGAGAGCACTTGTAAGGAGAGAGGTTGTGTTCTAGCTGTACGAATTATAAATTTTTCATAAATATATACATAACACAAATGTATGCACACACATGTATGGAGAAAGAGACATTCCAAGACTAAATATTTATATATCAGTAGAACAAAAGTTCTTGGAAAGAATGATAGATTGACAAATGAGGTATAAATCAGAGCTTACCAGCTTTAACAATTTCAGTACTGGCCATATGTTTGAAATGAACAATTTTAACACCAATCTGACACCAAAGGCAACTTTTTAAGATGACACACAAACAGTATACAGTCTCGAAGAGACAACTGTCTTCTGCTAGCTTTGTTGGGTTTAGTTACTTACTACACGACATATAATTTAAGTAACTGCAAAGCATGAGTCAACTTTGCAATTTTATTCTGCAGATAAAACTTGAAGATAAAGAAAGGAACGCACTTTGCAAGAGTAACTGCTGGAAATTATGAGCAGTTTGCTGTAAAACACTGCTGGATCCAAAATACAATTATTACACATTTGTTCGCACAATTGACACTTGGCATTACGCTGAATGACTCTACTAGTTTCAAGCTCAGCTGGTATATGAAAGGTGGCAGAATGGGTTTCTGTCTCCTTTTTTCTCTTCTCCTTTTTTTCATAGGTATGTCTACAGCACAAACGGCTTACATTATGGGATCTGATGCTGGCAATAAAACCCAGCCAAAAAGTTGATTAAATATTCAGGCAACAGCTAAGTTACTTGATTTTAAAGTACCTTTGTACTGTGGTCATGAGCTGTGTGTGATTGCAGCAAGAACATGTCTTGTGACAGCTAAAGAGGGCTGAAGGTTGGAATGGGGAGCTTTTTATTTTAAGCCTTCAAAAAAAAAAAACTTAATAAAAACATAGTCGTCATCTTTAGTTTTAGTCTTACTAGAGGAGCTCCTGAATGTTAAAAAAGCCACATGCCACTTGCTTTCGCACTACAACTGAAAGGATATGGTTCTGAAACTTCACCAAACCTGTAAATGATCTGTTGGAGTTAACGGAGCTTAACAACAATCAAAGCTTTCTAAGCAGTCTCCTAACCTCAAGCCTTTCAGGATCTTTTGCATTTTGGGGTTTTTTTGTTGCCTTTATAGTTTGTTTTTTTTTTTAAACTGCTCCATTAGTTATGCAAAACTTGAACAGCTCATTTGAAAGCATCCATCTGACTCACCTGCTTAAGGCATTCTCACCTTTCACTAAGTTATTACCACCCTTGGAAATACCAGGCCAGCAACTGTGTGCTAGATTGTTTCAGCCATAAATCAGTTACAGGATGACTACACTGCTCATCCTAGGAGGGCACTTTTCAACCTAGCTAGAATGCGCCGTGACAGCGTTAGGCAGCCTGCAATAGCCAACATTTGAGTTTCTGCCCCAAGGGACTGAAGGCACTGCTCCTGGATGCCAATATCCTCTGCCATCCTTTATATGGGCCTTGCAAGACTCTGATGTTATTGCAGCATGGAGAATAAAGCAGAACACAATAAAAACTAATGTACTACAAATATCCTTGAGATACCTTAGCAAAAAACATAAAAACAAATAAACGTTCAAGGCGGGGACGGGACAAGGGATTGTACGTCTGCATGCCATGAATTTGGTCACAAGGGCAGACTCCACATGACCCAGGGGTGATAGGCTTTCACTCAGACATACCTGCACTCAGCAAATAAACATCTCTATCAGCCAGCTTCTTTCCCCCAACCTCATCCTTTACTCAAGCTTCTCATGAATATTTTTGTTCTTTAACTAAACTATGCATTTTGTAACTTTGAGGTCAATGGCATGCATTTTCTTAGGCCACTCATCACACTCATGCCACATCTGGTATTTCAGCTGTATTTGCAATTGAGGAAACAAAAGCCCAAATTATCCCTCTGCATTTTCTCCAAATACAGTACCTTTTCGTATTCATTTAGCACCAACAACAGTTCACAAAAAGATGCTTTTACATGCGATGAGCAGTTCCACTTCTGCTGCTACATAAGCCTCTCAAAATGCAAGACAAATTCACAAGCTGCAACTAAAGCTGCCTGCTCATTTTCATTGACCTAAGGACCCAGATGTTGTCAAGCCTCCTAATGAAATTTAAAGACTAACATCTGCAGAAGAGCATTAATTTTGTCTCATGAACAAAGTGAAGCAGCAAGTCTAAATGTGCCTCACGTGGTTATCTAAATGATGCTTAGGGATAACGTATGAAAATTGTCTTTCCCTCCACACAAAATTAAGACAATGAAATCCATTTCCTTCATTCTTCTGGAGGAAGTTATTGCTCTAAAACACTTACACTGAGAGAAAAAGTAATGACAAATTCAAATAGCTAATCTCTGTGGAGAAATAATTCCATAATGAATGCTGAGAGCAAACACTTTGCAGTAACAACTTCTCTAAACCATTGTAAAGAAACCATCACTGGTGCAAACCACTTGCAAGCAACAGCTTTGCTATAGAGGCTAAACTGTGCTTAACTGAGCTGGCTCAGAGCAGGCTGCCAGGAAAGCTCAGAGTGATGCAGCAGAATGCAAACTCTGTAAAGAACAAGCCTCCTTTCCTCTGACATGCAGCTGTGATCTCCAAACCCAAACATCCCGCATCCACTGCGGCTCACGGAACTCAGGAAACTGGGAATTTCAGCTGCAAAAGTCCTAGGTGACAACATCTTCTACGTGGTTTTGGACACTGAACAAGAGGCCAAAGTCGAGTCCTCTTTGGTATCCACAAATCTAACTCGCACCAAAATCGTTATTTAAACGTATTTGTAATTACTTTTTCTGTTGAGATATTAATCTTTTTCATGTTATTTACTAGCATATTGCTAAATTCATTGATGCCTGCAGACTGTTACAGAAATCAATATTTAATAATTTTCAGAATAATGCATCCTTTTCATAGGATCAGTTCTAGAGAGCTCCCTGCAACAAGTATTTAATCTCTGGTGCCCACAGATCATAATTCAGCTACCATATCACTGGCAAAAGTATTTTTAATCAAAAATTGCTCTGCCTAAATATTCAGAAAATCATCCTATTGTTAGACAGACAAAAACAGTCTTTCAGCAACAAATTATGTTTCTTGGCTCAGAGACAAAATACTGCTGATTCATCACCTACTCACGTATGACTGTAGATAGAAAACTTGCATTGGAGTCCAGACCACTGCAAACCTCACTCCAAATGCCAACATCTCTGAAGTATGACTCAAGGCTCGAGACAGGGTTGGACAGGGTTGGCTTAGTATGAAAGCTTATATGGGGAAAGTATCAAGAGACTACTTCATACTTTCATTTGTTTAATAGGAAATGGCTTTATTCAACTTGAATTTTGGTAATCTGAATACTAGTTCTGAATATCTAACAACTGCAGGAGAGAAGATAAGTGGAGAAGTTCCTTCCAAAAAATGCGAAGAAAGGGGTAAACACTCATGAAAAAGTTACACAATTTACATTACCAGAAGTAAACCATAACTGGGATTAAGGCTTAGAGACCTAGTCAAGCATCAGATGAAATAAAAAAACAACACAGCTTCATCTCTGCTACCAATACAAAACTCCCTTTCCAAAAAAACAAGCAAACCTTGACAAATGAGAGCCTCTCGGCAGGCAGGCTGTTAGGTGGATTACATTTGGTTTAAAATGGCACATAATGCCAAAATTGCACTTTAGCAGGGCTAAGCTTTGAGACCCCTTCATCAAGAAACAGAGAAAATCTTGGTATCATAAATGTCTCAGGCTGGGACAAAAGAACAACACTGTAGGTGGACACACTCCGTGCCTCAAGATTCAGTTCTACATTGTGATTTCTTCAGAAACAAAGCTGGTTTAAGACATTCCCATATATCCCTTGAAGGCTGAAGCAAAAATAAATAGGCCTGAAAACTAAAAAGTCACGCTGGAGTAGTGTGAAGTACAAGCAGCTGAAGAGCAAAAACCAACACAAGGCAAATAAGATCTACTCAAGTTATTTCTCTGCCTGTGAAATATCGCTGAGTGTTGAGACAGAGCAGGAGAAACACTGCAGCCTAACCATCACAAGGCGGGTGGATCAGAAAGGCTCCTGGATGCAAAAGTAGATGAGAACTTCTCCCACCACCAGCTATGGACCCTAGAGGGACCTTGTCCGAAACACTAGCAGGGATGGGGAAGGGCATTCTGTGGCTCCAGAAGCAGGTGTTTCTGTGTCTGCTGA